TCATTCAAACGTAAAACCACCACAAATTTTCCACATTTTGATGAAAGCGAAATGTTCCATCAAATAAATAAATAAATAAATAAATAAATAAATAAATAAATAAATAAATAAATAAATAAATAAATAAATAAATAAATAAATAAATAAATAAATAAATAAATAAATAAAAAGAACAAATACACGGAGGGTGTTACAATTGAAAAATAGTTACTTTGGGCTTCGTAATTAAAAAAGTAGTTTTCAAATACAGCCACCCATCAATTCACTGCCAATGTTCGGATTATCATAAAAGTTTGCTAGTGGAACCCATCACCGGTGGGATCAAGTTTTGGCGCCCTTTATTTTCCAGCGGAACAATATCCATAGACAATTGACAATATCCATATCATTTACTTCCGGCAAGGCTTACTTAGTCATACTTGCCGAAGACTAAAAGCTAAATTCGTAAAAGAATTAGTAATCGAAAAATATTGTTATTTGCCATTCAGTTCAAAACTCACAAATTTCTCAAAACCTAAACTAAGAAATTCATTCATTCACTCACTCATTCATTCATTCATTCATTCATTCATTCATTCATTCATTCATTCATTCATTCATGCAGTCAGTCAGTCAGTAAGTCAGTCAGTCAACCATATATATATACGGTCCAACCACGATGTAAAACACTTGTCCTATAGTACCTTACCTCTGTAAATAAGCAAAGTGTTACTATGACCACTGCCTGACATTAAGTACATATCCTGCATTTGAATGACTTTTAAGAATACAAAAACACGGCTCAGTTGCCGCCCCTTGTCGTATCCTCTTTGTAATTATCAATTGGACAAATTCATTACCGTGACTATTTTGTCGTCAGGCGCAGCAAATGCTGTCACATTGTTGGCGACTCAGTGGTGGGTTATTTACGAGAATTATCACAACAGTGTGGAATTTATCGTGGAAAGGTAGCGCACAAAGACTCTCGTCAAGTTTATAGTCATCACGAACCGTTACATGTAAATATTGAACTTTGAAGCGGAGTCTTTGTCGCCTACGCATGCGCGGGAATTGAGCCCCAAGCGACGATAACAACGCGCGCTTAAACACACAAAGGCTCATGGGCAGACGCTTATTTGTCAAGCACGACACGGTATTTCCGTCTACCGCATGTATGCATGCGATTGTACATCTTGTTAAATCTCGTAAACTTTTCCCAGTACCACGGTCAGCGCTGAACAAATCATTTGCACTAGCAGATGGCATTCATTTGCATGGTAAGAATGTCCTTTCAGTTAAAAATAAAGTTTTTGCCAGGGAACGTTTTTATTGTTGTTATTTACAACTTAGAAATATGATGTTAGACACATAAAGTATGCATTTCGGAACTGTATCACAGAAAAATATTTTCACAGGTATTTATAAAAAATTGTATCACAGTAAGATACATTCACAGGTATATAAACGGAATTGTGACACAGCGACATATTTTTGCAGGCATTGATACGAAATTGTGTTACAAGAAGATACATTTGCAGCCATTCAAACGGAATTGTATCACAGTCAGATACATTTACAGGCATCCTTATTGAATTTTATTACAGTAAGATACATTTGCAGGCATCCATACGAAATTGTATTACAATAAGATACTATTGCAGAAATTCATACGAAATTGTATCACAGTAAGATTCTTTTGAAGGCATCCTTATGGAATTTTATTACAGTAAAATACATTTGCAGGCATCCTTATGGAATTTTATCACAGTAAGATACTTTTGCAGGCATTCTTATGGAATTTTATTACAGTAAGATACATTTGTAGGCATCCATACGAAATTGTATTACAGTAAGATACTATTGCAGGAATTCATACGAAATTGTATCACAGTAAGATTCTTTTGCAGCCATTCATACGGAATTGTATCACATGTACAATAAGATACTTTCACATGCATTTATAAGAAATTGCATCACAATAAGATACATTCACATGTGTACAAACGGAATTGTAACAAAGTGACATAGTTTTGCAGGAAATCATACGGAATTATAGCACAGCAAGGTACTTTTGCAGGCATTCTTACGAAATTGTATCGCAGTAAGATACAGTAACTGCAAAGTGTTTTCACTGATCTTCAACTTTGTTACCAGGTATTTCAGTGATAACTCTTTTAATAATGGAATGCAATTTTTACAGTTTGAAAATATAATATATAACATTTCTGATCACTTTTTGATTTTGTTTGTTTTGTTTTCATATAAAACCATACAAAACCAGACTGTGGTCCATTTCTGTCACTGATTCAGATCAAGATCATGACGTCACTGAAAACCCTAGCATTACCATCTAACCTAATTATTTATTCTGAGCATGCTCAGTTGTTGTTGGGAGAGGTAATTTATGATCAAAATCGTGGAAAACCCACTTAGGATTTTCAGATGTGCATATTCAACAGAGACTTGTTCATCAACCTGCAAAGTTTCATCGATATCTGCTGCAGAATTTCTGAGAAAATGTTAGAGATGTCACGGACGGAAACCGGAAATAAGAAAATATACTGCGCTTAAAACGGGGATTAACAAATTGTTCCGGTCGAACAAGAAATAGTTGAAACAATGAAATACTGTTCGCAAGTTACCGGAAGTAACCAAAATTTAAATTAAAACCATCACCAATAGTCTGGACGTACTCACACTGTTAGCACATTCATTGATTGAGTGCACGTTCGTGGAAGTGATGACACCGCCCTCACAGTCTTATTCCAAACGACACGTTTGTTTAACGTGTATGTCCAATCAATCAATCAATCGACCTCGCGCAGTTCTACAATACTTAACGCTGGTTTGTGTTCAACCAGAGCGACCACAACAAGCAAGCTTATTACGTGGTCAAAAATGAAATGCGGTATGTGAATGTTTGACAATAATAAAAAATTACCATGCCGTAACTCGAAGTTATGTTAGCTGTTAATTAAAATTCGAGTTCCTGAACGTGGACATTAAACAACAACAAATTCTACGCTGTCCGTAAGTCGAACTTCGGTAAACTGTTAATTAAATTTACTAACTCGAAGTTTGAATAACTTTTAATCAAAGTTCGAGTTACTAAATGCGAATGTTTAACAAAAATAAAAATATATGTTTTTCGTAACTCGAAGTTCTGTTAACTGTTAATTGAACATCGAGTTACAATTTGGGCGTGGTTTTGCAAAAGTGGGCGTGGTTTAGGAAATATGGGCGTGGACATTTTTGTAACTCGATGTTTTCATAACTCAATGTTCGTAACTTGATATCTTCGGAAGCCTTGGAACTGATAAAGAGTTGAGCATTTGAAAACATTGGGAACTCTTTTCACATACACATGACTAAAATTTTTATATTGACCCAACACAAAATTTGAGTTAGATCTGGTGTCTTAATCGTTGATTACGTACGTATCACGGCAACGCCTATTTTTAGTGATACAGTAATTGCTAGGTCAAAGGTTAACATCCATGATGCATCATTCAAAATGTCAGCCACCGTCTGCAATGTGTGGAGCTCTCTAAAAACACGAGGATTTTGCGCTTTGGGCCTTATTTTTCTTATTATGGGATAGTATTCGATTAGCAGAATGAT